TTTATATTTCGAAGATACAGTCTGGGGTCTTAGCTGCTGTAATCTAGAACAAAGTTGCTAGGAATGCGATCCGACGCTTGCCAACCCAGTGCACGAATTTCATATCTGTAGCAAGCTCTGCTGGCGCATTCACCTCCCTAAAGCAAGCATCACTCAATAAGTCACGCCTCCTGACAGCATAATGATAGTAAATCACCTTGTCGCCAGTGACCCTTCAAAAAGCGGTGCTTCGTTATATTAGATCACACCTTACAAAAGACGGTAAATCAATAACGCACCTGCTGGAGATGACTTGCCGATTCTGTCAATGTTTGACTAAGGAAGTCCACCAGTCGTAAGGAATAGCGTTGAGGATCGGGCTTTCGCTCAGAGTGAGTGCTCTTCGTTACCAACGTCATAGTTATTTTTCCGACGTCCTGAACATCACGATAACCTAATATTTTATCGTGATAACTAGTCCTTTGACAAAGTTCAGGTTCTGCTAAGATAGATTTAAGTCGTTAAGACAGTTCTCGAGACGTGGAAGCATACCAATTATAACTTTTCCTGCTCGACTAACCCAAATATTTGTCAAGTTTAATTTTCCGTGCGTTAAGTTGTGAGCTGCGAGGAAATCAAGTGCTCGCATCAACTGTTACTCATTAGCGTACAATGGCAAATAGGTATATGGGAGACTTCCCTGCCCTGCAATAGCAGCAACTTCGTTCTCGGTAGGGAATCTAGGGTTCCCAAGGATATGCAGAAGAGTAAGATCTATGTAGTCACAGACAATATCCACTGTGGAGTCTGAGATGAATACCTCAAAGGACTGGAGGAAATATGGCTTTCTGCGAAACTGAGCTAGAAGTCTCAGCTTACGGTAGAGTCTCTCTTTACTCGTTTGTCGGACCAGAACATGATTTCCCAAAGTCTCTTTCCTTTGGGCGACGCTAACCAGCCCGTTTAATGCAATCTCATACTTTTGAACGTACATGGTCCACACCGAGAAATTCGATGTCTGAATTGTATTGAGCGACTCGCGCCCCAGGCTAGAGTGAATTTCCAGCGGGAGCCGAGGTGGTTTGGATTTATCCTTTTGAACTTCTTGTCCTCGAGCACTATTCTCCTCTGGATGAGTGCTTCTTCTAGGTTCCATGAACTTCTATGTGGCCAAGCTTAGCAGTTGGGGACGATGGGCTTCAGAGGATAGCAACATGTATGTAAGCTGGCAGCTGTATAAACTGATGTTGTGGTGGTGGTGTAAGCGTCGATAGTGGGTGGGTGTGAGATATGTGTCGAGTGTATGAGGATGTAAAGTCGCAGGCGTAATATGTAGTTGTCCACAGGCGGCAAGAGTGGTTTTATGAAGGAGTACGCCTATTACTGGGTATAGTTCCACTTGTTCGATGGGTTAGGCACCAGTTTCACCTCCCATTTGCTTTCTACGGCTCCAACTATTCCCTTGCGACTCATGAGTGCGTGACGCACGTATCTGTGGATATCTGCTTCAGCTACTGTGGTCGATGTTATGGCAGTCCGGATGTCCTACTCACTTAGCTACACGTGCTTTTCCATCTACGTAGCTGATAAGTAGGCATAGTTCGAATGAGATCTTCAGGCCATAGTGGAGTGATGCTTATATTATGGGAGATCGTTACCTATGCATTCCGATCCGCCTCACCGTGATCTTCCTTAAGGTACGTGAAGATTCTGTGTGAGTCTAGAAATGCGATACTAATGATGTCTATGATCTCTCCACGGGTACATCGGACACTTAGGAATGGATGCTACTCAGGGTCAGCTCCCAAGGAAACAGAAAGAGATAGATCATGGATAGCACCTCTTGCAATTCCGATGCCTTGCACTTCCGACCGCGAGCTATGAAGTCTAATGCCTGTGGAGAGTATCTCTCTGGACAGGACAAGTGAATAGGACCTCTGGGTTGTCGTACTGCAGATTTGTCAAACAATTGGACTGCAACATTTGAGAGTGCAGATGTGTCTAAATATTCCCTAGGTTCGTACGAAATTGTCCAGAATTCAGGGTGAGCTTTTTATATCAGCCGGTGGTATTACGCAGGCCACAAACCTACCCAACTTGACTCCCCCATCCAGTGTCAGGAGAATGTGTTGCGCATCAACAAAGCCGTGGGTTAAGCCCCAACGTTCCAGAAGCACGAGCGCATCCAGTACCTGCTTAGGGTTAGTACACCTTTCTTCCAGGAAACCTTTTCAGTACCTCATTCAGGACGAACGACACCTCTGACTCCTCTGGGGTCTTTTGGCACGCTAGAACCTGAGCCAAGCAGACGTCGACGTAGTCTGAAACAATAAAGAATCCGTTCTTCCAGTCCATCATTTCGATTATATTCAACAAAGACGAATTCTTACCTAGCCGTAGCTTTTGCAGAGCTTGTAGATATTTCTCCTTATGAGAGCGTGAGATAGTGCTGATAGCATACCGTTTGAGATCTCCGGATCGGTGCACTGCCATGATGGCGGCACAGCCTTGACGAACTTTGATCACAGGCCGATACGAATCCCAGGGACTCTGATTCCGTGGCATCTGGGGGACAATGCCACAACCAAAGGCAGCTTCAGGACTTGCGAAAGTGGAATTCTCGCGGAAAGACGTTCTTATCGGCATAGTGTTTGACGGATCATCATCAGGTACGACTTGATTATCCTCGAATAATCCGGATATAGCACAGCTTTGATCTGAAAATTCTTGATTTGGCTCCTGTCCTCGATCATTAGTCGATCGCTCAGCGCTCCTGTTCAGATCACGTTCATGGAATTCGAATAAAGTTTCTCGTTTGTGCCGTTGATCCATTCCGTGAAGCAAAT